AGATATGGATAGAGACACTTTGAAGCAAATATAAAGATATTAATTTATGATGTATCTTTGTAATTTAGGCTCAGTTTTAAGAATCTTTTCTACAAAGCAAGTCCCATTGAATTCAGAAGTACTAATTTCTAACGAAATACTCTGGGATGTCCTTCTTAACTTCAGCAGCATAGGATGCTTGCACATTTAATTGATATGATAATATTCAAAGCAAGTCTGTAGACAAAGTTTAGCCAAAGCAGCAAACAAACAATACAGTCCACTGACGCCAATGGAAATCCCAATGGGGTATATCTAATCAACATTTGGAAGAAAGCTATTGGTGTTTAAAAGAAGAGAGACAACAAAAGCACAAATCTTCTCACAGAAATTGTCAAATGGCTTTTGCTATCAGTTAGGACTGTGTCTTGTCACGAAGTGTGAAATTAATAAGTCATGGCATTATTTTTCTGAATTTATAATACAGACTACAAGACCAAAGATTAAGTTTCTGGTGCCATTGCATCAATGAGCCAGTGATTTAATTAGATCAGTGAGCTTTGATTTCTGTCAGCTTGTATCTTGAAAAACCTCATTAAATTTATCTGTTAAAGATAGATTATGTACTTGAAAACCCAACTAGCACAGTGCTACCCTAAAAAGAGCAGGTGTCGCTATCAAGATACAGCAGGAAGGTGAGAGAAAATCACGGGAAAATGGTACTTCAATAGCAATCTCTCTGTGTGTACCTGATGGTGCTTCAAAAGTTTCACAAATTGTTCAGCATCTGCCGAACAAGATAAGGCAACGTGAAAGAACGGAAATTATGTCAGGGTCTGTGTCGAATATAACATGGAGCTTTCTTTATTTTCAAAAAGAATTGATAGCAATTCTTTTATAAGTTACCCTCCAGCTGGAAGTGAAGTACTGAAGCTTGAACGAATCCAAAGGCTTAACAACAAATAATCAAGAACACATATTTTTTAGCTGGCGGTTAAGGAAAGACACTTTGTTGCTTTTTACTTCTGCCTGCACAGTATAGAAAAACAACAACAACAACAAAAACTGGTTATAGTTTGTTCAGCCTAGATGTTTTTTACCCAAGCCACAGGCTCTCCAAACCCTCATGTGAGTCCCTACGGACCTATGATTGCTGCAAACATTACTGTATCCTGCAATGTGCAAGAATAATTTTCTACAATTTTGATGTAGGAAACACGGGAAAACTGTAAAGTATTTCCTAAAATTGCCATTATCAGTTAAAAGTGAAGAAATGTTAAGAATTTCTCCAAACCTAGCTCTGCACATAAGTGTGTTATGATCGCCTTCTGTTTGTACTCCTCAGCTCTCTATACTAAGGTATAACGATTATACCTTAGCATCCATTTCATTCCAACTTATTACAGGGAAGACATCTTCCTAAATAGGACAGATTCTGCTACAAAATGGATACTGCAATATTTCATCAAGGGGAAAATTAGGATGTCTATAAATGTAGTATAAAGTGTGTATAATAGAATGATACAGCTCAGCACTGTCTGCCATGTGATCTCCATGGAACATAAAATGTACATTAAGATGAAAAGCTTAGACTGAGAAAATTACATCTGTGGTACATTTGTTACGTCTGTGATTGAAATAGATAAATACATTCACACATACAGAATTCTTAGGAAAGGAGAACTGTTGCTGGAGTACTAGAGATGGAAAAGAAAAATATGGCTAGTAAACCAAGATGGAGCTAGACAATTTGTGCTGATAAATATCTGCTGGTTTTAGAATAATAGAGAGACCAATCTTCGTCTTTTAATGACCCCATAACCCCTTGCAGGGTGGAGTCTGGGCAACTAAATGGAGCTGAGTGTTTACTGGCCGGGTTCCCGTCCTGTCACCAATGCAGAGTTTTGTTCAGCAGATATAGCCTCATTGTGCCCAGAAAGAGAAATATCTACCTCTACCTAGGATCAAACTCACAGCCTCCTGATTGTGAGGCGAGACCTCCACCTCTGCCAACTGTCCATTTATATAGGCTGCCAATAATAAAGCCCTTGATAAGTATTTAAGTATCTGCCACTACTACACACTTGCACATTTTCTGTATATGCATCGGGGTGAAATGCTCCTGGTTCGGACCAGATCACTCGATCCGGTAGCAATGGAGGCAAGTGGTTCGGAGAACCAGTAGCATAAATCCCTGCCCCCCATCCCATGCCCAGCTGAGCCGCACAATCATCAGAGGCTTTTTTTTACTTTTAAAAGCATTTTTTCTACAACCTCTTCAGTGGAAAAAATGCTTTTAAAAGTAAAAAAAAAAAAAGCCTCTGATGATCGCATGGCTCAGCTGGGATCGTCAAAGGCTTTTAAAAGAAAAAAACCTTTTTTTTCTTTTAAATGCCTCTGACAATCCAAGCTGAGTTTTTTAAAAAGCCTCTGCCGATATGGCAACTCAGCTTGGATTGTCAGAGCCTTTTGAAAGCATTTTTTTACAACCTCTTTGCCAAAGTCATATTACCCCCCCCCACACACACACACACCAAGCCACGCCGACAGAACCGGTAGTAACAAATTTTAGATTTCACCACTGATACGCATACATAGGCTTCATGAACCATAATATTACTGGCGCTGTGGTATACTAAAACTAAAACAAATGACTGCAGTAGTTGAAACATTGCATATTACATTATTATACCTTTTTGTTATTCCTAACAATTGTGATCCCTTTTTATTATGTTATAATTTCCCAAAAGTTTTATTTTTTTTTAAAAAAAACCTCTTTAAATTATTCTTCATTTGACCCTTAATGCAGCGCTTACAATATTTCCCAACACAACTGCACAAATCTGTCTTAAAACACTTTGTGTAGAATTGGGCCTAAAAAGTCCTATACCTAATAAAAATGAATACCTCTTGAACAGGGGTGGGTTCTACTTACCTTTACTACCGGTTTGCAATGGGGCTGCGCACGCGCTCTTCTGCACAAGCGTTTTGATGACGTGAGGGTCAGTGGGCAGAGTCTCCCACCAGTTTTACCACCCGTTCTATAGAACCGGTGCGAATCGGGGGCAACTCACCACTGCCAAACAAAATAGGCCGGCCACCAGGTTGATTCCATACAGATAATTTATATATTCAGGTTAGAACACAGAAGAGATTGGACATATGGCAATTCAAAGTTCTGGTAATTAGAAATTCTGATTTTTTCTTTTTCAATCTCCCATTATAAGCCTGTAACTATCTTTAACACAGAAACTTTTCTCAAATTAAATGGCATCTCCTTTGTCTAACTCTAGATTATTTTGACATGACATTTGCTGATCTAATTAAGCAAAGTGTTTTTCAACCACAGTCTTCGTCTCCTTGATCTACCTATTATTTGTTTTAACATCCATGCTATCATCGCCAGATGGTTGTTTTCCTGAATAGAAACTAAAGTATGTCTCATTGTTGTGATGAATCTGGCTTTCCTTTACATTCAAGCTGATTGCATTTACTTTGGGTAGAAACGGAGTGTTTCTTTAATTCTTTTTGGGCATGATTTTATTACCAAGGAGCTCTTTCCAATCTTGTCATTAAAAGCAAACTAGCTGATAATTTTCATTGTAGCTGGGGAGATTTAAAAAGAGCTTGTGTTTGTTTAGCTTCTGTTCCAAAACATCCTGAGTGAATGGCAGTCTGCTACTGCTTATAGACATTGTAAGCTCTGTTATTCACTCCTCATTTCAGCTGCCTACACTTACGCCTACTCACACATTAATTCTGTGATTCATCTCTCTGGGCCATAGTTTGAATTCACTTCTTCACTGTTATGGAAGTAGAGATGCTGACATTATGACCTTAAAAAGCAGAAAAGAAAAGTGAATTTGTAATCCCTGATTGTATCTTTTGAATTATTGGATTTGTTACCAAAAGTATTAGTATTTGGCAAACAAAACTTAGAAAGGCTTCATATCTTCTTTCTTGATATATAATAGTGTTGGAAGAAATACCCAGGTCCAGTTCCAAGATGGGAGAAAGGCACTGGAAATAAAATGGAGGCTGGAGGCTGATTGGAAAGAAAGGTTCCCTTTATTGATGAAGCAGAACCACCAGCCACATGTGATTCTGGGACAGCTGACAAAATGGAGTTTAGAGTGGGTGGGTTTTTGTACCTTCTGGATTCCTATGGGGTCATGTAGGGGTCATGGCTGGCTCTATAGGCGAAAGGGGAAATGCAAATCCTAGGTGTTTGTCTGAGCCAATTTTGTCAACCTCTGGCTTGATTATGTTGCTTATTGTGTTGCTTATATGAAGTTTCTTCCTGACCCAATCTTTCTGAATGGATTATCAAATCTGCATTTGTATAAACTGGCCTCCTCAGTTTCTGCTTGGAGCAGGGAAATTGGAGCTCGTTTCTGCCTCCCTTAAAGTTTTTTTCCATTTCTCCTTTAGGGGAAATATTCTATCTTGTCTTTTTAATATCCTCCCAAATATTTCATTCTTCTGGGCGGGGAGGCCAGATTGATAAGTACCTTTATAACTTAGCCTCATTCTCCAGTGCAAAGTTAAGGAGCTGCTGAGATAGAAATACCATCTAAATTTGTATGATTGGGGTTTATATGTAAAAAGAGAGAGAGAGAGAGAGAGAGAGAGAGAGAGAGAGAGAGAGAGAGAGAGAGAGAGAGAGAGAGAGAGAGGCTTTTCTTCCTTTTATACACTCCCCCCCCCCCCCCCCCGCTGTGACAAATAGAAGTAATCTATTTTACTATACCAAAGTTCAGGGCCTTTCAAAGAGGTTATATTATGATACTGCATCACCAGGATTACTGCAGAAAAAAATGGCCGCCTTCACCCTACTCCCACCCCCTCTTCAGTGTATGGTGTCCACATAATTTCTTTCATGCTGGAAAATCCACCATTGAATTTACTTGGAGTGTCCATTTTTCCAGTGAAACTGGTTCAGTGCATTCATGGAAATGATTAGAGATAAAACATCTTTAATTCTTTTTTTCTTTTCTCCTTTTTCTTCTGAATCCAGAGGCAATCCAGCAGTGCATCTAACTGCTGCTGCTTTTCTATTTCCTGGCTATACAAATTGTCACTTTAGAGGCCTCTGGGACACAAAGGTCCACAATGACTGCCTGGAAGAAGCTTCAATTTGCACATTATGACAAAAGGACTATAGTGGAAATTGAGTCACTAGCATGTCTTAAATCCAGGTAAGGAAAATTGCAGCAGGTGAACTTGCTTCTGCCAAAGCTGTCTTTTCTTTCCATATGATATTTTACTTCTAATTACGCTTTGGCACAGATTTTTAACCTTCAAGGCCAACTTTGTTCCAATTATATAAAAGCTCTTTCAGCAGAAGAATGTGTTTAGAAGAGGAGAAAAGAGAACAGTGATAATGAGACAGCCAATGCAGCAAGTTATAGGTCAGAAAATGAAAGAATGGAATGGATTAGAATGGAACAGGATGGGATGGGATGGAACGGAACCGAATGGAACCAAACTGAACCGAACCGAACAGAAAAGTAGCATGATAGATTGAAGGTTGGCGAGCTGGAACACTGAACAAAAATTCTATTACTAAGAAGGAAGAATGGGGGAACCAATTTAGACAGAAGCACATATCAAAAGAATATGTTTTAGTAGACCACAAGTTGAATTACAACCATTAGTGTGATTCAGTTGCTAAAAAGGCAAATGCTATTTCGAGATGTATTAACAGGAACATAATGTCCACATCACAGGAACTAGCTTTCTAGCCTAGTTGGGCTGATCAATATTTCCTGCTTGCCCCAACATAATAACTTGCCACTAACCATTTCGGGAAGGTAGGAATGGAGTACAGTATATTGTCCTCAATCCATCTCTTGGCTTTTGGGAAAGCAAGAATTTTCCTGTTTTATATAATGATTTTTTTCCACTCCATGGTTGAAATCAGGGCAACCTGGTCTGCCTGCTCAAATGCAATTGGCTGGTATGTTCTCTGTTGGCCAACCCACCAATCCCTGCTGTCTGCCTTTGGTGACAATTTTATATTGGGTTGCTGGGGATCTGTAACATGAAAGGCTAAATTTTTGCTTGCTTGGTAAATGCAATCCTGATTATCCACCTGCAAATATACATTTGGACACAAAGGAATGGCTGAACAATCTGGTTGTTATTATTTATGGAAGGCTTCATATTATTAAATCTCACTTGGGACCAATAGATGGCAGAGCTCTGTAAATCAAAATAAGGATTGAAAAATCGTTAAGAACTTGAGAATCGAAACAAGAGAGGACTAGGCACTAATACTAGCAACCTGAGATGTTCTGTGAAGTGAAATGAATGTGCATGCAGATTCAGGTTGTGCCCTGAATTGATTCTCATTATTTAGAACAGAAGAATCTGGTGGTATAATGCAGGGATTCTTTATGATGCTCCTCTTGTTTACATGGCTTTATTTTTCTCCTTGAGCAATGCATTGAAGGAATTAAATCTGGAGAGTGAAGAGACATTAATATTCCTGTAAAAATACAAAAGTACATCTGCCACCTGCTTATTACTGGAGATTGGTAAGACAAAAATGCAGGCTGAACTAAAGTTCCCATTTGCATTATGTTTTGATCTAATGTCATAATGGTTACAGCTCTCTAAGATTCTTTAAGAAAATGTCGTCTTTTTATATTGAGATAAGGATATATTTCTCTCTCTATATGACACAGACCAAATCTTCCCAAACTGCTAATTTATAGAAAGGATAACTACAAGAATAACCAGTCAGCACAGTCAATGGTTCTTGCAAATTTCACAAGTGTAATTCCAACTCTTCTGAAGGCATCAAGTTGGAGGAGATTGATATAAATAATTTGAAGTTTATTTATTTATTTATTTTATCGGACTTATATGCTGCCCTTTTTTCACGAGGACTCAGGGCGGCTCACAACAATAAGCAGCAACAAGTCCAGATTAAAATTCAAACAATAAAAGAAACTAAAATTCCCATTAAAACCCCATTCAGTCCAGGCCAGCCTGGTGAAACAACCATGTTTTAAGGTCACGGCGGAAAGAGCGAAGGTCAGGGGCCACCAGGAGCTCCAAGGGGAGCTGATTCCAGAGGGTAGGTGCACCTACAGAGAAGGCTCACTCTCTAGGGCCCGTCACCCGGCATTGCTTGGCCAATGGGACCCTAAGTAGGCCCTCTCTGTGTGAGCACACCGGGCGATGGGGAGCTGTTGCTGGCCGCAGATGATCTGCCAAATACTCCGGGCCTAAGCCATGTAGGACTGTATAGGTGATCACCAACACCTTGAACCTCACCCGGAGGGCAACCGGTAGCCAATGCAGATCACGCAGGAGGGGTGTGACATGGGAGCATCGGGACACTCCCATCACTACCCGCACGGCCACATTCTGCACCAGCTGAAGCCTCCGAGTGGTTTTCAAGGGCAGCCCCATGTAGAGAGCGTTGCAATAGTCGATCTGGGAGGTGACGAGTGCATGGCTGACCATGCGTAAGGCATCTCGGTCCAGGTAGGGGTGCAACTGGCGCACCAGACGAATCTGGGCAAATGTCCCCCTGGTCACGGTCGTGACATGGTCTTCTAAGGTCAACTGTGCATCCAGGAGGATGCCTAAGTTGTGCGCCCTATCCACAGGGGGCAACACCTCTCCCCCATGACCAAAGATGGAATATTCCCTTGGAACCGAGACGCCGGTACCCACAGCCACTCCGTCTTGACAGGGTTGAGTCGGAGCCTGTTCCTCCCCATCCAGAGCTGCACCGCCTCCAGGCATGGGACATCAGGTTGAGGGCATCACTGGGCTGATTCGGGTGGATATAAAAAGCTGGGTATCATCAGCGTACTGATGATACCTCACCCCAAAACTACGGATGATCTCTCCCAGCGGTTTCATATAAATGTTGAACAGAAGGGGCGAGAGATATATGCCTTTTATTTTGTATGATCTGTTTTGTAAGTTTTATTTAGTAAATTTTATTTACTAAAATTTAATACTGATTAATGTCAATTCTTCAAGGCAGACTAGACTAGAACATCATGCATGCTAATACTACTTGTATTAGAAGATTATAGTAACAGAATCTTTCAAGTCTAAATGTCCTTCCTCCTTCCTTCGCTTTATCTTGTCTAAGGTGGCAAGCATTCTGTCAGTGTAGGAAACCTAGTATAAATCCATCCTGGGGGCCGCCAGCTGACATTGTCTAGCTGATGGCACCTGGAGAAGGCACCAGGTGATGGGAAGCCGTTGCTGGCTGCAGATGGTCCGACAAGTATCCTGGGCCTAAGCCATGTAGGGCTTTATAGGTCATCACCAGCACCTTGAATCTCACCTGGAAAGCAACCGGTAACCAATGCAAGTTACACAGGAGAGGTGTAACATGGGAGTATCGGGACCCTCCCATCACAACCTGCGCGGCCGCATTCTGCACCAGCTGAAGCCTCTGAGTGGTCCTCAAGGGCAGCCCCAGGTAGAGAGCATTACAGTAGTCAAGATGGGAGATGACTAGTGCATGAGTAACTCTGCGTAGAGCATCTCGGTCCAAATAGGGGCGCAACTGACACACCAGACGAATCTGGGCATACACCCCCCTGTCACGGTTGATATATGATCATCTAAACTCAACCGTGAATCAGGAGGACACCCAAGTTGCGTGCCCTGTCTACGGGGGGTAAAACTTCACCCTCTATAGCCAACGATGGAACCTCTCCTTCGGATTGAGATACCGGTACCCACAGCCATTCAGTCTTGACAGGGTTGAGCCGAAACCTGTTCCTCCCCATCCAGACCCATACCGCTTCCAGGCACTGGGACATCACGTCGAGGGCATCACTGGGCTGGTTCGGGGTGGATATAAAGCTGGGTATCATCAGCGTACTGATGGTACCTCACCCCAAAACCACGGATGATCTCCCCCAGTGGCTTCATATAGATGTTGAACAAAAGGGAAGAGAGAACCAACCCCTGGGGAACCCCATATGTGAGGGCCTCGGGGTCGACCTCTGCCCCCCGCCAACACCACTTGCGAGCGTCCAGAGAGGTAGGAGGAGAACCACCATAAAACAGTGCCTCCACTCCTAACCCCTCGAGGCGCCGCAGCAAGATACCATGGTCGATGGTATCAAAAGCCGCCGAGAGATCTAACAGGACCAGGGCAGAGGAATATCCTCTGTCCCTAGCCCTCCAGAGATCATCCACCAGTGCGACCAATGCTGTCTCCGTGCTGTACCTGGGCCTGAAGCCCAACTGGTTACAATAGATAAGGAGACACATTTTTAAGTAAACGGGTGCAGTGTTAGGATGCAAGTGCAGATGTATATAAAGCTTTCAATCAACCAATGGAACAGTTTTGCCTTTGGAAGTTGTGGAAGTTTCATCACTTGAGACTTTCAAGAAGAGATTGGACTGTCATCTGTCAGAAATGGTGTAGGGTCTGCTTGGGCGGGCGGTTGGACTAGATGACCTACAAGATCCCTTCCAACTCTGTTAATCTGTTAAAATACTGCTATTTTAGAAATTATTATGTATCCTTGTTATATTCTTTTATGGTATATTTCAGGGCATTGCTTAATATTTTTATAATTATATTTCATTTACATTTAAATACTTTAGAATTTTACTTCTTTTGTTGCTGAGTGATTTTAGAAGAATCAAAGTGATGACAAGAATCCAGCTTTAAATTAGTCATTGTTGTTATCAAAAAATATCCTAAGTCTTAATTGAGAATGATTATCCCAGACGGCTGGAGGAGTCCTAGTTACCTCAATTCAATCATTTCTTCTTTTTGTTTCCTAGCAGCCAAAATCCTGGAGGAGCTCATTCAGGCTAAGAGTGCTGCGTCATTCACAATTCTGATGTCTGCTGATGTCTTTGCTTTGATATCTAATGTTTATCACCAACAGAGCTCTGAGCAGCTGTGATGGTTTAGTACCATCGCAATGCAATTTGCTGATCATTGACAATGTCTAAAATTAAATACAACAATGCTTTATTCACTTTAAAGAACTAACCATACTAATTAGCAAACAATTACTTTTAAATTTATATACAAACACAATATACTACACTACGCTATTATTATGGAATATTAAATTATTCAATAACATTATGAGCCTCAAAAATGTTTATAATCCACAACAACTCACCCTAACTTAGATGACAGCAAAAATTTGGCCATCGTGTAAGAGACAATTTTGGCAAAGAGGATGTAAAATACAATACCTAGAATAGCCAGTTCTTTCCCCAGGAATCATGATCAACATTGGAGTAAAAATGTCTCTGTATTGTATATCCAACAATTCCTCTGGTACATTAATAGCCACTTAGAAATTTGAGAAGACCTGATAGCCTTTGACTTGGCTTTCCTTCCGGGATATAGGCTTTTGTGTTTGTTCACCTCATCAATGGCAACTATTTTGTGAGACTACTGATAATATGCTCTCAAAATTCTACATATTGAGACTGTTGTCTTATAGACTTATAAGTGACTAAATTTTTCAACACATGAATTAAAATCCACAATCCAAAACCAAATAGAATTTGAGCAAGAACCTTGATCATAAAATACATAACACAAGAGGAATCCCTTTGAAAAAAAAAAGTTTCAGATAGATTTCCTAAAATTAAGTACCAAATCATATGAAAAGTGATACAAAATTCATATATACTTATCATTTGCCCTATTAGTTATTTTTTTTATTTGATTTGATTTATAAAGTTGTTCATCTATGTAAAAACATAAAACTATTTGTGTTCTTTCTTAGTTTTAGGTATAAAAACATGTTGAAACTGTTCTGACCTAGGCTTCCCGAGACAGTAAAAAGCACACGATTAGTCCCAAATGAGTCACAAAGAGTTGGTAAAGAGTCCAACAGAAGTCTGCCACAGTCCTTCGGGATAAGGCTGATAAGCACCCACCTTTATCTCCGTTGACAGGCTGCCAAAGACCTAATTGGCAATTGGCTTTGCAAGGCCACACAGAGCACAGAGTCAAAATGGAGTTTCAGAATTTAAACCGACAAGAACAAACAAAGTTGCTTCCTGCAAAGGCTCACGTGCCTTTGCTCCTCCTTTATGTCTTATGGGAGGGCCAATCATCTCCAAGCCCTACTCCCAAGTTGTCCCTTTTGTCTTAACTGTTCTTGCTTTCTGGCAGCTCTGTGCATGCGCACACTGGAAACAGGTTCCTTCTGTTCCTCTGCCTTGCTGATGTCTGACTCTGGAGGCTCCAGAGGCAGCACATAACTCCCAGATGGCCCTGGCCCGCTCTCTGCCTCCAACACAGAGCCTCGTCCGAGCCTTCTTCAGACTCCAGGACTGGCCCATGTTCCTTTCCAACCTCCTCACTGTCCAACTCTGCTGCCAGCTCTGCAGGCCACTGGCGGACCACAACAGAAACAAGGAATTTATTATAATTGACAGAAAGGTCTCAACTTTACTGCAGCTAAACAATATCCTAAATTAGGGGTGTCATCAAACTCACGGCATCACGGCAGCATCATGTGACGTATTGGGACTTTTCCCCCCTTTGCTAAATTGGGCATGGGTGTGGCCAGTGTGTGACACATCCAGCCCGCAGCCCAGGAGTTTGACAGCCCTGCCCTAAATGACCATTTTAGAGCCACTAATTAAGTAATCATTAGTGCAGAATTTAAACTCTGAAATTGATTTTAGCAGTGGTTACAAATCTTGCTAAACAATGGATGTAAATAAAAATGAAAAGAAAATATATGTGTTTTGAAGAAGAATTTTCTGTTTTGATAAAATGTTTTCTTCTCCAATCTCTCAAACTTAATGTTCTGAAATATTGCAACCACAAGTATTTGTAATGTAATTTAACACACTTAAGCATATTTGTTGAAGAAAAAGTTCAGTTAAAGGCATATTTGAACAAGACCATTTTCAATAAATGTAAAAAATGTATTTTCTATTTCAAATAGTAATTTGAATAACCAGCACTTCCTATGTATTTGCACTGGACATTTTAAGGAATCAATTGTCACAATAGACTTGTTACATATTCGTTTGGGTTTGAAATTATCAGACCCTGGGCATGATACATTTTTATGGGCAGGCTTCATTGCTGATTTCATAAGTATTACATGAAATTCTAAATTCTGGTCTTGCTAATATCAATGACATGCCAATTATTCTGAATGACTCCCATTGTTTCATTTCCCATATTATGTGGGAGAATAGCTGCTTATTTATTTCTTTTTTTAAAGCAGCTGCTTGGCAGAATTATTTGCATAAATGTATTACGAAATATAATATATTGCATAATTTTCTATAGTAAGTTTATTTTCTGATGTCATTTTCTCTTACACTGTTTTAGTTAGTATTGGCGGGAAAATCCATTTTTATTTACTTTAACTATTTCATAATTGCATTTACTACTTATGAAGTTAATTTTGCTCTCAGTGGTTTAGTCACTATACAGCAGAGCTGGTGCTCTTTTCTAGCCTTTGGGCCAAGTCTAATTTAAGAAAAGTCAAAGGAAGGAAGGGGAATTCCAACTGCAAGTATGGCCAACTTATGGTAAAACCATTACTCTTGAAAAAGCAAACAAACAGCCCCAAAGTCATCAAATTCAAACAGAACCCCAAAGTTATCTGAATCATTTGCTTAGTCCAGCAAAGTTCAACTGGCACATCTGTTTGTAAAATCTCAATTGTATAGTCTAGAAGATGAGAAGAAGGACAATTTTGACATTATCATCACTCTATACTTGAAAACTTGATGAAGTTTTTTTTATTATTATTATTAAAAAGTTTACAAAGAAAATTCCCCCCCAATATTCCCCCACCCTTTTTCCCTCCCCACCCACCCCCACACCCCTTCCCCCCTTCCCCTCCCCCCTCCCCCCCAGACTTTCCAGAGCAAAATACAGGGTATTTCAATTAACAATCATAAGCTAAATTAACCTAACTATTCTTAAACTACCAAATCCCGCCCTGAAACCTTAATTCCTCTATAAATAACATAATACTTCTAAAGTTTAACATTCATTCATAAGCTATTTGATATTTTCTTGTCTGATACTTATTTTGAATATAATCAATCCATCTCCTTCCGATATATATCTTTCTTGTGTATAGTCCTTCAAATACGCTGAAATTTTCGCCATTTCCGCTAAATTCGCTACTTTCAATGTCCATTCTTCAATAGTAGGCAAAGAGTCCTTCTTCCAGTATTGCGCTACCAACAGCCTAGCTGCTGATATTAAGTTTAAAATCAGTTTAGTCTCCAATGCTGTACAATCCGTAGTTATACCCAATAAAAACAATTGAGGAGTAAATTTCAACCTTTTTTTTTCAGGATGTTCTGCATCACCCACCAAATTTTTATCCAAAATGCCTTGATTTTCTTACAAGTCCACCATATATGATAATAAGTTACATCATCACATTCACATCTCCAACATTTAGCTTGCAAATTCGGGTACATACATGATAATTTTTTAGGATCTAAATGCCATCTATAAAACATTTTATAAAAATTTTCTCTCAGGTTTTGTGCTTGTGTAAATTTAACATTTCTAACCCAAATCTGTTTCTATCATCACTGGTTCCTGAAATTTTGTGCCCATTATATTTGATGAAGTTTTCTGAGCTGTTCTTGGATTTCAACCAAATAAAATACAGCCTTGGATTTCAACCAAATAAAATACAGGTCTGACAACAGCATAGTATGATTAAGTGAGATCTCAGAGACATGAGCATAGTATGGGTGCCAATGCATTGCTTTTCAACAGTTTTGCAATCATGGACCCCATATGGAAAAATATGGGGACCACTCAATGAAAAAAACACTTCCCTAGGTTTTTGTCTTAAAGAGCATGGGCTCTTTAAGACAAAAGGTTGTTTTAACACAGAGATTGCAGGCAGACTGGCAGGTGTTGCAATTGGGTGGGGCATAGGCATTTATGGTCTGGTCAGTGGGAGCCATGGATGGGTTGTGAGTGGATGGACAGGTTGTCATGGGTGGGTGCATATTCTGGAGTCCAGGCCAGAGGGTGGGGTATGCTTCAAAGCAGTGGGGGAATCCACATTTTTTTACTACCGGTTCTGTGGGTGTGGCTTGGTGGGTGTGGCAAGGGAAGGATACTGCAAAATCTCCATTCCCACCCCATTCTGGGGCCAGCCAGAGGTGGTATTTGCTGGTTCTCCAAACTACTCTAAATTTCCACTACCAGTTCTCCAGAACCTGTCAGAACCAGCTGGATTTCACCCGTGTTTCAAAGTATGAGTTCCCTAGAATCTTGTACTACATAGTGGGAAACCTCTGGAGAAAAAGCTGTAGCTGCCTAAGCAGGGGGTTGGACTCAAAGATCCCTTCCAACTCTGTTATTCTATTCTATTCTATTCTATTCTATTCTATTCTATTCTATTCTATTCTATTCTATATCAGAATGTGTGTGTGTGTGAGTGTGTACACATACAGACATACTCCTAAGATAAGTTGCTTTTAGATCCTTTAGAATCAATGAACACTGGGATTTCAAACATTAAAATTTATACTTTTTTGAATCAAAGTACACCTTGATTCTTAATCATACCTCCAGATGGCAGCAGAATTTAAGCAACCTAACTCCGTATCTACTTACATTACACAGAGAATGCAGAGATAATAAAATTTAAATGCTTTTCTTCCCAATAACTCAAAGGTTAATATCAGAACAGGATAGGCAAAGTCTTCCTCCATTCAATATTGAAAAACTAATGGGAAGGAAAAGAATCTTTATTCTCTTCTGCTACATCTAAGGGAAAGCATTTTGTTTGAATAGCAAAAAGGAGCTTCACCTACAATATATCACCCCTAATATTACCCTAAAATCTAAGGCCTGAGATAGCCAGTCCACTCCGTCTCATGATAGGATTGATTCTGCACACCAATTTTAAAATAGTTCCCCCCCCCTAAAACCCACTCAAGTATTTATCATACAAATGTTCTATAGAAAAAAAAATCTGGAGTTACTTCAGGAAAAATTGCAT